GCCCCCGGATTTTCCATTTAATTTACAAAAATTATCCATCCAACCGTTTGGGTCTCATCTGAAATGCACATGAATGGACCGAGGGACTTCATGCCTGGAATTCGTTATCAATTGCCCAACAGACACAAATCGCTGATGGAATCTAAAATGCAGCTGCAAATGACCAACAATTAATTAGAGTAGAGGCAGAGTGAAAAGGCAAATGATTAAAGTTGGTTTCTCATAGAGTATTACAGCTGGTTTTTCTTTCCTTTTGGTGCTCGTAATTAAACATGGCACTCGAATGCAAATTGTTTTTGCCACCCAAAAGTTGACCCACTTTAGATTAGACTAGATTGAAGTTTAGCTTGTCTGCGTCCTCGACTCTGTCTCGGGCCTGCTTGTCACTCCAAGCAATTTGCATATCAGACATATGTCTCTCTATGCGTGTGTGTGTGTGTGCTGCTGACTGGGAGAGTCTGGCGATAGGCTTGGAGCTGCATTTTTGCGTCTGGCCACTGCTCAGTTGCCGTCTGACTGCTCATTGTCATTTCGCTTGGCCATATTTTGGCGCGACTTTATTGTGGGCCAGCTGCTGGCAGCCGCCAGGGACTGGCTCAGTTCTTGTGGCACCCGCCCCTCCTGGCCAGCGCGCAGTCAGGCCCAAATGTCAACATCAGCCAGCCCCCATTGATGGCCAAGCGCATTGGTACGCATAATGTTTCCCTGCTCTATAGTGTTTGGAGTAGACCGAAGACTTGCAAAAAATTAGAGATGAAATGCCTATTATCTAGAGCTGAAGCAATATAGTCATAATTATATTTTAAAATTTTCAAAATAAACGAAAAATTGTGATAAAATTGAAGTCAGGAATATTATATTTAAATTAAGAATTCAAATTAGTTGAAGATTGACTTATTCTATGTATTAACATTTCAAACATTACTAACTTCGAAAAAGTAGCATAGCCTCTTCTTAAGTCTAAAAATGTTAGACATTCACTTTAAAGTATTATTGAGACATTTCTGTATATTCCAAATTCAGAAATGTACTTAGTTAATAAAACTTTAGATTTTGAATATACATATATAAAACTATTATTCAACAAGAATTCAAAGATATATTATTATTTGATCAATCTTTGAGTCTGGAATATATGTACGTATATACAAATAATATTCAGCATAAATATTCCAGCTATTTATTTGTTATTAAAAATAGAAAATAATTATAATATTATTAGAATAGTGAAAATGTATCAATAAATTGGTATAGAAAATATCTCTATATTTCCTCCCCACTCTCTCTTTCTCACTTACTGTCTGTATCACTTTTAAAACACTACACAGAAAAAAAAAAAGTTAGGAGTCCAAAAGATTCAACGATATTCACAGCGTATACATATATATACAAGTGGGAGCTGGCGCAGGATGCTCGCTTTCCATATTCACAGACCAGCTTTCACGCTCCACAAAGAGTTCCCTGTGCAATTATTCCAGTTGCTCCCTTCTTATATAATCTCCCCATTCTGAGTAACTTCTATGCAACTCGCTGTTTTTCTTCGATGGACTTCATGCCATCTCATTCTCTCTCATTCCCGCAGAGTGCCAATTTGAATATACCAGAAAGGGTGCTGCCAACTTGACCAATACTTGGAATACTACGCAGCTCTCTTAACCTGTCATGGTGTATTAGGGTTACCATACGATACGATGCGACGCGATACGATACTGATAGTTGGCTGAACAATCTAATATTTTTTTCAATTCGCAGTGCATTTGCGTTTTGTGGCAACCACGAAAAGTTGCACAAAAAAAAAAAAAAAACCTTGGCTCTGATTTGGTTGTAGTCAACAGAATTTTTGTTTCTTTTGGCAACGGTCAGCAAACTGCATCATTGTCAGCTTTGACACGAAATTCTCGGGTCACATAAATCGCATAACTGTGTCATGTCTCAGACGCGCTGCGAGCCCGAAAACTGAGCCAGCCGCAGCAGCAGCGCACGCAAAATTCCAACGGACGGAGATGCAAATACAGATGCAGTTGTACTTGCAGATACCCAGAAGGAGAAAGAGAGAGAGAGAGAGAGGGATAGAGAGGGGGGGGGGGGGGGAGAGAGAAGATAGAGAGCGAGAACTGCTCGAGCATTGTCGCATTTAGTTTTAAAGTCGAGTATTGAGCACTGAGCATCTTTAGAATTGGCTTTTATTATGCTAATTTTATATTCCCATTGTTCCAATGCACGCATATCACTTTATTATGAGCCCTTGAGGCAGTGGCCAGAGCAGGCGCTGGAGCAGGAGCAGGAGCACAGCGCATTTGCATGCCGGCTGCCATTTTTGGTCAGCAAAGTCCTCAAAGACTCGAATGTATGCAAATTTTTTGTCGGTTTTCTGCCTGGCCTCAACTCAACTCGAGCAGTAAGTCAAATCACAACAGCTTTGAGTTTCCTTTGTGCTGTCAGCGACGAGGCAATCATCAATAAAGCGGCCAGCAGCCGCAGCAGCCATAGCAGCAGCTCCAACTCCATATGAACTCCAAAGGCCGCCACACGGCTCCACTTGGCCCAAACAAACAATGTTGAAATCCAGCCCAAAACCCAAACAACAAAACCATTAGCACAATATCCAATGACAACAACTGCAACAAGCGAGAGCAGTGCACATTAGCTGAACGATATACAAACAATGAAAACGGAAATACTCTTTCGAGAGATGGGCATTGTCAGAGTAGAACATGAAGAAATTTGATTTTAAATAAACATAACCAATATATTTAATCTTATATAATTAAATATTCTAGTTTTTATCATCGTTGTCAAAATTTAATATCATTAGTCATTAAAAGGATTTAAATTTTCTTGTTGAAATGAAACCCAAAATTTTATGTTTGTGTCTTATAAAATAGAAAATAAATAAATATAGAAAAATACAAAATAATAGTATAAAACTTTTTATTTTCGAAATGTTTTGTGATATTTTAAAAAAATATTTCAATCTAGAAAATATTAATAAATTAATATATAGACAGATCTCAAGCAAACTGTTTTGTTTTTCTTTTTATTTGCAATTTGTTTTATACTAAGCAATACAATACAAATAAAAAGTTAAATATGATAACATAAAAGCAGGAAGCTAAAATCATTTTTGCTACTATTTCGTAATCAATTCAACAATGAATCTACACTTATTGAATCGAACTGCTAAGGCTACAAATCCAACTGTTTATTCGATATACCCGCTGCGTATGGCAGTTAACTGCAACAACTTTACATACTTTGCGGCAATTGAACATTTGTTTTCATTCAGCGCCGCCGTTGCATTGAAAAGCGTACCGAAAAAGTGATTGATGTCGTTGCAGTCGAGCGCCAATAAATTATCAAAAAAATAAAGAAAATGAAAAAGAAACAACCAAGGCAGAAATCAAATGGGAAACATTGGTGAGCTGGCCAGATGCTCGACTGGCCGAGTTAATGATTTGGCAATAATATAACATTTGTGCCGAGAGCTTAGCTCAGTACGTTTAAGTGGCAAGCGGAAAATTGGGCAGCGCATTCCAGGCGCTGCATGCCGCGTATGAGTAATGCGCCGAGCAATAACAAATCAATTAAAAATAAGAGGAAAACTGAAATAGAGGGAAAGCACGTTGCACGCCCACCAGGGCCAGAGCACCAGAGCGCCCAGTGTTTTCATCGGAGAGTTTGGCAGGCAGGGAATAACACGATTTACGGGGCGACAATTGTCTCTCTGTCCGTCCGTCTCTCGGTCTCCTCAGTGTGTCTCTCGGTCTGTCCCTGTAGCTGGCGAAAGGTGCGCCTGCGCATTTTTCACAGGCAACACGAACTGTTGTTAGAGCTGGTTGCATGTTGCAGCAGCAGCAGCAGCAACTGTTGCTGTTGCCGTTACTTTCTCGGCCCCGTTTGCCACATCCGCCTCAGCTGGCTGTCAGCCTGCCCAAATTGCGTATTCGCTGGGACAAAGGTGCACAAAGAGGCACAACACTTTGCTGATTCGCTGCCAGGTTGCATTGCTTTTATCTATGTATGTGCATCTTAATTGTCAGCTGCTCTCTGCATGTGTATGCATGTGCATGTGCATGTGTGTGTGTGTTAGTGGGTAACTGGACATGTTTGTGGCACAATTGAGGACCCAGTTGCCAGTTGGCAGTTGCCAACGGAGATGGCACAGGAGGCAGCACAGTTAACCACAATTTAGTTGTGGCTTAGTTCATGAGCTGTCATTAATCGAGACAGCCAGCCATGATTTAGTGCTTAGATATGCCCTCCAGTCAATTACAGATCAATGCAACTGTGTAAATAGTCTTACTGCAGTACCAAAAAAAATCACCTCCTCTTTAACTTGGCCTTAACAAATTTTCAACTTCGTTTCGGTTACACCCTGGGAACGGGGTTAAATTGGAAAGAAGTTTTACTTGGCAGTCGACGATACCAATTGAGCATATGCAGAATATTATCAGCTCTTATTTGAGGTGAGCTTCGACTCTAGAGCGAACGTCTTTGAAAATAATAAAATAATAAAATATATGAGTATAAATTAAATTTCAAAATATGCTAAAAAGTTACAAATATATTTTAATAATAAATTTTCATCCTTTGATATGCCAGCCTAATAAGAGAACATTATTTATAATTATATGCAAATGAATATAAAAGCAAATCAAGGCTTGGCCAACTTTTGTACATACCGAAAATTAAATTAAAATTAAAAAGGTTTAAATAAATGTTCAATATATCAAAGTCCTAATGAACGTAGGGCAATAAAGAAACAGACTTTATTTTTCATTTTATATTTTCAGCTATTATTATATATATTATATTATTATATTATGTTGTCTTGTATTATCAATTCATATTATTATATTTAATTACATTTAACAACTCGCTTGCTCTCTCTCTCCCTACCCAAATTCCTGATTTACATTATTGGTTTGCTAGTTGTAGCATGATGTGAAAAATTAAGGAATATTTGGGAGTAATTTTGGAATGTTTGGGAATACATAAAATCCTCGACTATATATGTAAGTTGAAATTTAATTAATTGTAAAGTTAAAGCGATGCATGGGCGGACCAATGGTTGGGGAACTGCTCTGGGTCACCTTGACGGCGGGCGGAGAGACCATTGGGATGAGGGGCACGCTTTTGCTGCTGCTGATGTTAGTGTTGCTGTTGTTGTTGTTGACGCTGTCCGTGGAGTTGGCGTTGTTGATATCGGGTTCGCTGCGCTCAGGCGGCACCATAGCTGTCTTGTGCAGCTTGAAGCCGTGAATGCTGCAAAGGGATATGCTAAGTGGAGCAGCAATAGTGGAATAGGAAGATATATGGACTAACCGTGGCGTATACTTCTGAATGGGCGGCTCCGGCAACAGGTGCGGCAGCTGCATAAAGAACATGTGGGGAAAGCTGGTGCCAAACATGGCGCCGTCCAGGAGCGCGCAGCGTGCATGCGGCTGGTAGACATCCCTGCAGCGCGGACAGTAGACCTTCACGTGCGACTCGCCAATGTTGTCGGACAGCCCGACTGGCAGCACCAGCTGCCCGTCGCAATAGATGCGCGGGCATATGCCGAAGTCGCCGCGCTGGTACTTGAAGCACATGTCGTCGATGCCCCGCATGCTCAGTATGTAGCGTGCGTGGATCAGGCCGTACAGCTGGGCCGTCAGCTCGGGGTCTGCGTCCATGGGATTGAAGCCGTACTCCGTGTCGAACTCCAAGTCGAGTATGGCATCCAGGGTCTGATGAAAGCTGGGCACCAACAATTCCAGCCCAGTCAAGTTGAACTTGTCCTCGATGTACTCCTGCGGCACGCGGCAGAGAAATCTGTTCACCTGCAGATTGACGAACCAACCAATCCAAGTGCCATCGGGCGTATCTGTTTGACTTTTGCAGACATAAAAGTAAATTCTCATGTAGATATATGTAGCAAGATTTAACTATCATCTACTGCACTTACTTGTACGACATCTTGTGTTTGTGTAATTAGTTTTGCTCGGTTTGACGAATTCCTAAAAGTCTTTTGCTCTGAGTTGAAAATGTGGAAATATTAATGTGTGCGCACTTGAACTTGACACTGACAGCCGAATGAATAGTTGTGTGCTTCTGTCACTCTCTTGGTCCCTCTCTCTTTCTCTATCTGTCTCTTTCACTCTCTCTGTTTAAGTCGGCTTATTTTCAATGTGTAGAGCTTACTGATTGTAGAGAATAATTTTTTGTTGAGAAGTGTTGTAAAATATATGTAGTTATTAAATTTTCATTTACTAACATTAATCAACACTGCTCTTATTTAATCACTCCATTGAACAGCACTGAAAATGACCATGAGCTAGCACTAATGCATATTAAAAGTTCTTTTTAACACTGTTCATGAGCATTAGCAAACACTGCACAGTGGTCGGACTTGTATGGAGCGAGCTGCCAAAAATACTTCTAGTGGAGATAAAAATCTGCACTGTAAAGCAATGAAGGATATAATTATGTACTTTTTTTTTTTTAAGAGAAATTATAAAATATATTTATTTACAGCTTAGCGCACCGCTACCTTATTGATAACTTAATCTAAACAGAATTACAATAATTTATCTACTTAAAAGCTATATTAATATTAATATTATATATGGAGATATTTGTGGTTATTTATGTACATATATTTCTGACAAATTTGGAGGTGCCAAAAATACTTCTAGTGGAGATAAAAAATGAAGCAATGAAGGATATAATTATGTACAAGCTTCTCCATTTCAAATAAATTCGAAATTTCGTCAAATAAAAGTTGTTTTAATACTTATATATGTATAAAACTTTATTGCTGAATAAGTTTGTATTATTTATTTACATAAATGGAATATAACTAATATTATTCTTCCAAGCTATTGAAAATATAAAATGAGCTGAATCCAACTCCCTTTAATATTGAAAGCTAGTTAAGAGAAAAGGAATTTAATTTTATTCACACTTCCAATTATCTCAGAGTCCAGTGAATGGTCCATTTAAAGAGTTTTGCCCCGAAGTACTGGAGTCCGATTGCCGCCCCAATAATTAATAACCTGAGAATATGAGCAGAGTGTTGGCAACAGCAATGGCCTTAATTAGGACAGAGCCAGAGACAAAGACCAAAAGCCGCACATTGCATTTTGGACTCTTTTGGTCATTTATTCCGCAAGCGAAATTCACTTAACACGCATATGTGTGTGTGTGTGTGTGAGGCTGATTATTGATCGAAGCATTGCAGCAAGCATTACATTTCCGGTTTACTGACTCGCTGCAATTGGAAAGCGCTTGCGCCTGCGCGCGTCTCACAATTCAGGTGCATATGGGGCAGAGGGCGAGGCGTGAGAGTGAGTGAGAGGTGGGTCAGCCGGCGCGTCGCGTCATTCACTCGTGCACTCATGAAGTGCAGTCAGTGAGTCGGCCAGCGCTTACTTGTCATTTGATTAATGAGACCACGCTCAGCCATCGATCTCCATTTAGCGGGCGGCCCTGTTGCCCGCTCTCGCCCAGCTGGACAGTTGGCGAACAGAAAGCATGAATAATGGGGGCGTTGCCAGCTTGGGCTACAGGTTCGAAAATTTGCAGCTACAACAGCGACAGCGACAGCAACAACAACAACAACAGCGGCGGCTACATTGTTGTTATGCCCCTTTTAATGGCGTTCTAATTGCGCAAGTTTCGAGCCTTCTCCTACGGCCATGTTAGCGACTGATGCGTGAAATTTGTGCGAATGTGTGTGCGCGCGTATCTGTGGGCCCATTCACTGCAGGGTTGGCTGCACTCAGACACTCCGACAGGGGGCGTGGCCAGTGACACGTCTTAACTGACCAATATATAAAGCCAACGCAGCGCGCGTCAACGTGCTAAGCCATGGTCCAACAATGTTGCAATTGTTGTTGTTGTTGCTGTTGTTGTTGCTGTCATTGTGCGGACTGGGAACAAGCAACAGCAACAGTCAGTTGTCTGCTGGCAGCTGCTCATTGGCTTGTAGCAGTCGATACATAGAGTCACAAAAACCAACACACCCAGTAAATACCCTATAATACCCTATAAAAATGTATTTCTGATCTCTCTCTCTTACACACTCTCTCATTCTCTCTCTTAAGGTGTTCAATAACGCTGTTCCAACGCTGTGGACCGCATACCAAACAGTATGAGTGGGCTGCTCCCAGCTGAGCGGACGCCAAGCGCCTTCCCCACTGAAGCAATTCCTTGCGAGAAGCAATTAAAAATGGAACATACTCTACGACGAATGAAGGCGACAAATATTAATTGCATTTGAGGGCGCCACAGTCATGAAAATGTGAAATATGTATAAGAAGTGTTCGCACTGTCTCTTTCTCTCTGTGTGGGTGCACGCATATTGGTGCCTCTGTCTCTATATCTGCTTTTCTGTCTCAAAGTAAGTCACTGTGTAACTTCTTCTCTTTCTCACTCTCTCTCTCTCTCTATCTCTCTCTCTCTCTCTTTCTACCTCTCCCTGTACTTGTGGGTATTTTGCTTAACTATCTTTCTCTCTCTTTTAGTCTCTCTACGTGTGGGTATCTCTCATCTTATTATTTAGTCTCTTCCCGTCTCTGTGTGTGACTCGTACCATCTCGTTCTTTTCATTCGCTCTCTATCGCTCATTCTATTATAACATTTCTATGTGTACCTTAATTTCCCTTACTGTCTCTCTATGTGGGTCTCTCCCTCTCACTCTGCGTATATCCCTGTGCCTCTGTTAGTCTCGGTGTATCTGCGTCTCTCTCTCCCACTCTCGCCTTCTCTCTCTCTCTTCTCTATCTTTCTCTGTATTTGTATGCTTCTTCTCCTCTCTGTCCTTCTTTGTTTGAACATTTCTTTCACTCTCTCTCTCTCTCTGTCTCTATTTAACTCTTTTAACGAGATTTTATTTCTAGCTACACTCAATTGGTCTCCTACAAGTAATTGTACGTGCATTGTGTAAGTATATGTATTTAAGAATGGCATATCGAAATATGGATTTTTGTTGCCACTGTGGCTATGCAGCGGATGGGACGCGGTTACATCAACGCAGAGTGTCATAAGTTTGACAGACGGCAATTTACACGTTGATGGAAAAGGATACGGGGAATGCGCGCTAGATACGCTCTGCAGATATCCATTTGCTGTGCAGATGCAGGAACACAGATACAAATCCGACATCTGTGTGCGTGTCAGTGTGCGTACGCAAAGTGTGAAAACTCATTTGTATCAAATTTCTCATAGACACAGCACAGGGGCACACTCTCCCACACACACACACACACACTCACACAGAGACAGAAATTGATGTAATAAACTCTACGCGCTGACAGGGACAAACTTGTCGGTGTCGATGAGAATGTGAATGAGCATCAGGAGATTGGGCATCAGAGGAATGAGAAGAGAGACTCTGCTGCTGGCAGCTCAGCACATACAGCCATATGGGGGTGCAAATCCACAGCCAATGTAGACTGGACGGCGAGGGTATATAGGGAGAGTACATACCCTGCACTCCCTACTTTGAGATAAGTAGGAGCTAATAGCGAAACCCGAAATTTGCTAGTGGGGAATGCAGAGTAACTCGAGTTTTAGACATTTGTGAGAGCAACTATGTAAGCTAACAGTAAATATAAGTATTGGTTTCAGTCTTACAGGGTATTCCAGCTCAGTAAACATCTTTGCATACAATCTTTATTGCGCCCTCCTACCAGAGTCCGTCACTCGCAAGAATGACATTTTTGACATGGTTTGTAATTGACACTTGCACTTGCTATAGAGCAGCACCACCGAACAGCAGCTCCAGCACCACCATCAAACATCAACAACAACAAGCGAATCTGTCTCTCTGTGTGTGTGCAGCACATCTCCATCTTTCGCCAGCACGTGGTTCTAGCTCATTCAGATATGATTCTTTGCATCTCAGCTAGAAGAGAAAAAAACGGAATTTAAGGACGATGTAAACATCAGGTTGAGTGGAATAAAAATGGGGCACATGAATGTCAGTTAAAATCGTGGCGATAAATAATTTCTGCTGTCATTACAGAGCTGAGTTTTTGCGTCTATAACATTACAATATGTTCTTTCGATTCGCACTTGAGTGTTTCAGGTTACGAGTTCTCTATCTGCCCGAGTCTCCGGCCGGGCGTCACTTTCTGTCTGTCTGCCTCTCTGTCAGTCATGAATTGATAGCTATAAATGAGTTTTATTAGATTTGATGTGGTAAACAAGTCGTTCGTGTGTGCTCAAGGAGCAGCTAATGCAAGAAGACGTGCTTAACCGCAGGGAAATCAACTGTAGCTGACAAAATATAATGCTAATTCAGTTGAGTCAATGCAATTCTCAGATACGCAACTGAAATTTCAAATATCTTAGCTTCGTATTTACCATGACGCAAGCTGAGTCTTTTTCTGTAGCACAAATTTAAAATTTCTTAAATGACGAGTTAGAACTTTTCTTATTTGGATAAATACATTTTTAAATTTAGAATAAATTTGAAAACTTTTGATGCATTTTCCATTCCATCTCTAAATTCTCATTTTCAGATGCACAAGTATGCACTATAATTACATGTTATCAGATTACATTTCAAAATAACGTGTCAAGAGCACTAAAAACTAGTTTCATGGCTCAGCAGATAAAACGCCTTTCAAGTGTCCAATTTGCATTACAAATAAAGTCATCAATTCAGCTAATTTGCCGCTGCAATCTCTGCAGCACATCGACAAGCTAATTAAAGTGATATATGCGCAGATAACAGTATATGTAGATATGTGTGTAGATAAATGGCGTTATCTTGGTCCATTAATCTCAACATTCATCTAGCCATCTGGCAGCTACAAGTACTTGCAGCATCCTCCAGCAGCGAATACTCCGCATTCAAGTTTCGCTTGCTCACAATTAGATTATTCACAAATTAACACGAGAAAAGTTGATATGTTTGTTGTCTTGGCTTGCAGTGGCAAGCCAACTGGCTCATAAATCAGTTGAATGAACTGTGAGGCAACAACAACGACAACAACCATGGCAAGAACAAAAACAAAAACAAGAACCACAACCAAAATACAAAAGGAAAGGAAAACATTCAGAGAGCGCCACGCACTTT